AGCTCCAGTGCCACCCTGTAAAGCCTATTACTGGCCTTGCTTCAGAGAACATAAATAAATTGAATCAGCTTAATCAATGGCTGAATAAATAGCAATACTCCTACATTTAAAAAAATGTAGCTTGCTAAGGTTTGTTACAGAAAATTTACTGCAGTTAAATAAACTTTTCCTGGAACTTAAAAAGAAAAGCACACAAGGCTCAATCTGTAACAATATGTTAGTACTCTCTTTTACAAAGGCTCAATGGCTCCAGGGTGGAATACAACAATCTTCACACATTTCTTCTAAAGAAATTGATTTTGATCATTTTTAGAGAATTGTTCATAACAGGCAATACAAAATAAATTATTTAGGGCCTGCTTTTAGGGCAGGCTTGGATGGTGGTTGGGAAAATTCAAAATAATGGTGGTGGGTAAGGTGTAATGGTGTTGGGGTTGGTGTTGGGATATTGAATGTAATAGATTGTGAACAACCTTATAAAAATAAGTTCTAGAGATCAAAATTGGGGAAAAAAAGTAAAAAATCATTTAAAAAACCGAACTGGACTAACACCTAGGTAATAGGAATTCCAGAAAGAGAGAACTCATGAATCATTAAATAGTTCAAAACAGTTTCTCTGAACTGACAAAGTCTCTTTTCTTTCTTTGGTGGTGATGGTGATGGCAGGGAGGTGGGGTGTTGAGTCACATCCAGGGGTACAGAAGAGCTATGCCTATTTCTGTTCAGGCATGATTTCGGGCAGTGCTCAGGGGATCATATACGGTGCTTTGATTTGAATCAGCATCTGCAAGGCAAGCACCTTAACCCATGTCTAGAGTCCCTGGACAAAATTTTTATTTTGAAATATCCTGCCAAATACCTGGTTTATGGAATAAAATGTCCTTCCAGGAACTGAACATTGGAACAAAATAATATTGTAAGCTTTAAAGAAGAGAAAAAATCAATCACATGTACGAGATATAACGGAATCACATTTGACTTCAGAATTCACCCTGGAAGCCAGAAGTGAGTGAGTTTTTTTTTTTTCAAACCCGAGTTTTATTTTTGTATATTTTTTATTTTTTGCTTTTTGGGTCACACCCAGCGATGCACAGGGACCACTCCTGGCTCTGCACTCAGGAGTCATTCCTGGCAGTGCTCAAGGGACTATATGGGATGCTGGAAACCGAACCCGGGTTGGTCACGTGCAAGGCAAATGCCCTACCCGCTGTGCTATCTCTCCAGCCCCAGAAGTGAGTGTTTTTTAAACTTTTCAGCAGCAACAGTAGATTCTTTCAAAAGTGAGAGGCAAGTCAGGAATTTTATACCCTTCAAAGTAGAAACTAAGGGGCTGGAGTGATAGGACAGCAAGTAGGGAGTTAACCTTGCACATGGCTGAACCAGGTTCAATCCCCAGCACCCCCCAGGGTCGCCCGAGTCCCTCCAGTAGTAATCTCTGAACACAGAGTTGGGGTAATCACTGAGCACAGCCAGCCGGGTGAGGCCCCAAAACCAACCCTCCTCCACCCCCACCCCCAAAACAAAGTAGAAACCAAGTAAAGGGTAAAATAGCATTTTCAAACATGCACAGTTTAAAAACATTTGCTTTTTGTTTTTCCTTAACAAAAACTACTGAAGGATATACTTTACCAATATTGGGAGTAAACAAAAATAAATACAGAAACAAAAAGGGAAATCATGGGATTGAACTAGACACAGATCGGAAATAAAAGAAACAAAGGTATTTTGATGCAAGATGCTAAGACAATGAACCAGTACGGATTGAAGTAGATCAAAATGTCAGGATTAATACAAAAGTGTTTTACATACTGATCAAGCATCTTCACTATAATACATTCCCTTAATCTCCTACCACTATACTGCCATTTAATGGGCTCCTGACCCTTCCAAGTATGTCTACTGGTCGGTGAATTATACTTTTTCTGCTTCTTTTCTTAATTTTTTGACTTATAGGAAATTAATTTTCATCTCATTCAACAGTTTTTTAAAAACTAAACTGGGCGCTAGGGAGACAGTACAGGGAATAAGGAGTTGGGTTCATCTGTGGGTAATGAATATCACTTATCACTATGTCCCTGGCACTACTGGAAGCAGGTCCTGAGCACAGCAATCTGAGCACGCTGGAAGGGGCCAATTCTTCCAAAGAAAAAAAGAAATTAAATTTGCTTTTTTTTTTTTTTTGATTTTTGGGTCACACCCAGTGATGCACAGGGGTTACTCCTGGCTCTGCACTCAGGAGTTACTCCTGGCGGTGCTCAGGGGACCATATGGGATGCTGGGAATCGAACCCAGGTTGGCTGCGTGCAAGGCAAACGCCCTACCCGCTGTGCTATCTCCCCAGCCCCCAAAAGAAATTAAATTTGTTCTAAACTTAATTTTTAAATTTTGTTTGGGGGGTAACTAACTTAACCTAGAACAAAATTCAGAAAGAATATATGCAACTTCCAGAAGCCAGAACATGTAATTAGTTCTTTTGAGTGTTCCAAAGGGGGAAGTTCCTGGCAAAGAGGTGTGTATCTCTGTAATGCAGTAAGTTCTGACTTCTGGTGATTCCCAGTCCCAGTATGACTTAATGATAAGGGTTAGTACCCTAGAGCAAAGTGATCCTTTTCCTTTATTTCTAGCAAAACAATTTGTACATCATGCCCTGAAAATTCCAAGAGGCAATTTCAGCCTTGGCAGCTCAGTAGAATTGTGTTTAAATAAAATTCTTGCTTCAGAAGATCCCTTTCTGGCCTAAATAAGTGAATTCTGATGATTTCAAACTATCTCTTTTCTTATAACTCGACTCTAGTAAGAACCAAAAAAGAAAAAAAAAAAAAAAACCAGTTCTTCCCGACTTCCATTCCTCTCTTTTTGCCCATGTTGGTAAGTGCAGGAATAAAGAGAATCTGAGAACACAACTGCACTGCAGTCACAGTAAACCTTCCCCTTTGGAGAACTCCCCGACCCCCTTCTCAGCCACAGGACTAGATAGGAAGCGTCTCACTGGCCCAGGTAGAGCTTCCCCAATAAGTAACCAAACACTGGGAAGTAATGTTGACTTTGGTTTTCACATATTTTGCGGGCTCTGTTGACCTTATGGCTCATAATGGTATATTATTTGCCAGGAATTAAACCTAAATATATCTTGAAGGTATGAAATTGGGCCCTTTCAGGGCATGAACTCAATGATAATAATTACAGAAGCCATTAAGAATAGCTGAATTTTGAGGGTATGGAGCCGCCAGCAGGTCAATCTGTACCTGTGAGGCGAGTATATCAGCAGCCTGATGGTGCCGTTAGACGTCCTGATACCCCAAAATTGCTGCTGTGCCTTTGGCCAGACCCCAACAACTTGGGGCCAAGTTTACCAAGAAAGTAACGGCCAAAAGTTAGGTATGGGGGAGACACACCCACAAACCACCTCTGCCTCAGCTATTATAATTGGCGGCAAGGCCTCTTTGGTTCCTGATAGAGCTGCTTAACGGCCATGATCCCAGAGACTCAGAGGCAGGTCTTGGAACCCAGTAGCTTTTGGCAGAAATGCGTCCAGTCCCTGCAGTAGGTTACTGATGCCAGGCCACTCCAGGAAAGGGTGCTGTCCCTCCGCCTGCTCCCCCTTGGCGGCTCAGTGGCCGGCATCCTCCAGAGGATAGTCAGATTTGGGCCCACAGTGACGAGACACACAGAGTCTCACAGGATGGCGGTGGAGCCGGCCCTTTCCTACCTGCCCCAACGAGACCCTGGGCTGCTGCCCACGAACAGCCTCTCTGGCTCCTGATCAAGCTGCGTAATGGCCATGATACCAGAGAATCAGAAACAAATCTCAGAACCCAGCAGCTTTTGGCAGAAATGCGTCCGGTCCCCTCAGTAGGTTACTGTCACCAGGCCACCCCAAGGGGGAAAGGGTGTTGTCCCTCCACCTGTTCCCTTTTGGCAATTCTGTGGCCGTCATCCTCCAGAGGCCATTGGACAGTCAAGTTTGGGCCCACAGTGATGAGACACCCAGCGCCTCACATGATGGGGGTGGAGCCGGCCCTTTCCTCCCTGCCCCGAAAAGACCCCGGGCTGCTGCCCACAAATGGACTTTCTTGCTCCTGATCAAGGTGCTTAACAGCCATAGTCCTAGAGATTCAAGAACAAATCTTGGAATTTCTGCCAGCAGGTTTTGGCAGAAATCCCTCCAGATTTAACTGTTAAAATTTCGGAATTCCAAAATTGCAAAGCCACTACTTCAGTCACGTGACATCATATGTTATTCATAACCAGCAATAGAAAACAAATTGTCTACGGTAGCCTTTTTGGCAGATCTGAGTGTTAGGGTAAAATCCCAAATAATAATGGGGGGTCTGGTGTTGAAATATTGAATGTAATCAAAGTAGAGAGAGAGAGTAATGTAGAAATCATCTGCCCCACAGGTAGGGGGAGGGTGTGGGCTGGGGGGTATACTGGGTTTTTGGTGATAGAAAATGGGCACTGGTGAAGAGACGGGTGTTTCATCATTGTATGACCGAGACTTAGACCCAAAAGGTTTGTAACTGCTCTCACGGTGATTCAATAAATAAATGTATAAAAAGGGAAAAAAAATTAGGCAGAGTTCGTGCCCAATTCAATCAGCCTAATCAATGGCTGAATAAATAGCAATACTCCTACATTAAAAAAAAAAAGAGAATAGTTGAATTTGGGGCGGGAGCAATAGTATAGCACATAAGATATTTGCCTTGCATGTGGTCAACTGGAGTTTGACCCCTGACATCCCATATGGGCCCCCAGTACCACCAGGAGTGATTCCTGAGTGCAGAGCCAGGGGTGACCCCTGAGCACTGCCGGTGTGATCCCCAAACAAAAACAAAAACAAAAGAATAGTTGAATTCTAGCTCTTTATAATTTACAAATAAGTTACAAACTGTACAATGAGTTTTCACATAAAATAAACTTTTATCTTACTCATGTGAAGTTAAATAATAGTAAGAATAAAGAGATATTCTAAGTTTATGAAAGTCTGTATTTTGTTCCTTGCGCTTCTAAGTCACAAAAGAAGCCCTCACAAACAAGGGAAAACTGAGAGGAATTTTGTCAGACCAAGAAGGAATTCCAGTTTGAGTGTGCTGTCACATGGCTCTAATTTCAGTTTGGTGTGTTCATTTTACCAGCAGGCAATGACTACATATTTATAATATCTTTTTCCTACACTTATTAAATCCACATTGGCAGAGAATTTCTTTCTCAGGCATAGTCCCAGCTTTATAACCATAATCCCATGTTAGTTCTGTTCTTGCTTTCACATACCTAAAATGTAGAAATTGAAAAACAATTAAAAAATTTAAACACAATATAAATCATCGAGAATAACTACAAGATGAGCCAAAGTAATTGACTGTCATCAATTTTCATAAAAATATCAACCACCCTCAAGAAAATATGATTATTCTTGCTCCTGGACGCCCATCGAATAGGGGTGCTCTTTCATTAAGACTAATTAATGAGTTCTATTTCAAATCTACAATAAAATCTTAAGAGAGAAGAAATGTGTCAGTACACCTGGAAGGAGGCACAATTTGCCAAGAGTAGAACTCGGCGTTGTGATGAGTCTGCGCTGCATTAGTGGGGGTGGTTCTGACTTACGAAGATGTGGCATTTGATGTCAGTTATCCCCTGAACTGAGTCCTGTCATCCTTAGCCCTTTCAGGCACTAATGCTAGGAGAAAATAATAATTTAGGGGCTGGAGAGATACTGTAGCTTGGTTGCTGTTCATATTTTCTGATTGTTCTTTTTAAATCCACAATTTGAAAATTAAATCATAAAATTCAAACCTGTTGGTGAAGAATGCCATCAGTGGAAAATTTCTGTCATGTGTTTCTACAAAAACATTTTGTACCAAAAGATTTGGGCAACAGCTATGCTGTTAGAAAAAAAAAAATCAAACACAGAGATTAGACACTGAATAAAATTTTGATGCCTTATTTTAAGTTAAAGCATGAAAATACCATTGTTTCCAACACATATCATTTATTTTTCTTTCTTTCCTTTTGGGGGCTTATCTGTACGATATTACAATTCTATTAATATCAGGAACCTATCCAGAATAGCAATGTTCTGACTTATAATTTTATCCCACTGAAATGCAAAATGTTATAAATCCCTATAGAAGATAAGCTATTGATATTATCATTATAAATGCATTTATCCTTTTATTTAAGAACTGCATTATCTGGTAAAGAATTCTACAGATACATCTGAACATATATCTATGTATAAGAAAGAGTACTCATCAAATTTTTTTTATAACAAAGAGTTTAGAAATAACTCAGATACTATTGACCTGGAAAAATAATCTTTGGCATATCCACACAATGGAATTCTACATAACTAACAATGCAAATAATGAAGAATTATATCTTTGTATTGATGGGAAGGAATCGAACTCGGGTCAGCCAGGTCAGCCACATGCAAGGCAAACACCCTACCGCTGTGATAGCACAGCGGGTAGGGCGCTTGCCTTGCATGCAGCCAACATGGCCGACGCGAGTTCGATTCCTCTGCCCCTCTCGGAGAGCCCAGCAAGCTACCGAGAGTATCTCACCCGCACGGCAGAGCCTGGCAAATTACCCGTGACGTATTCGATATGCCAAACACAGTAACAGCAAGTCTCATGATAGAGACGTTACTGGGCCTGCTTGTGCAAATCGATGAACAACAGGAAGACTGTGACCGTGACCGTGATTGATGGGAAAAGATGTCCAGGGTATATTGGCAGATTAAAAACCGAGATGTAGAGCATATGCTATTTTTTAACAGAAAAAAGGAGAAACAAGAACATGTATTTTTATATTTGCTTAAAGAACATTCTAAGAATACATATGAAAGTAATAAAAAAAAGTGGAGGAAGCAGGGTAATGGGGGCTTCTCAAGTATGAATATGAAGAAAGTACATGATTTGACTTTTACATTACAGTTCAAAATACCGTCTGGAAATAGGAAGTGTGGAAGCAATTAATTTCACTACTACACATAAATACTAATTATTCTTTTCCCAAAACTTCTAACATTTCCTCCTATTATCATCATTCCAGTGTTATTCTGTTGACATTAGGCACATCTCTACATATTCATGTATCACCACATTCACTAAGAATCAAATCCCTACAATATTTCTTGGACATATTTACTACCATTTAGCTTCCATAATTTCCTGTCATACTTTTTTTCAGTGTTGGTTGGTAAGCTTTACTCAATAGTTTTTAATCAAGCAAGCTCACAGTTATCTTTAAATAACCCTGATCGGCTGCACGTATGTATACCGTATGCCTTTTAACTTTGTTGTTTAAATTATGTGAATGTCAATTATGCAGAAAAATGGGAAGGGAGGGAGAGTGGAAGGAGAAGAACAGAAGTGTGGGAAGGAAATCAGAAGAAAGGCAGGGAGAAAGGGAGGAAGCAAAGAGTGAGTACAGGAGGCCAGGCCAGGGCAGGACCTGTGTGCATTTGTTTTTCTCTGCTAGAAACCAGGGAGGCCTGGCCATCGTGCTCCCTTGGGAGCTGAAATCTGCCGCATCATCTTGACCAGCCCCATTCAATCCCACTGGTGGGACAGAGCACGCCAGCCCTCTGCTCTGAGCTGCTCTCATGGTTCCTTTTCCACTTTTGCCTTGTTGGGTGACAGTGGAGAAGCAAGCAAGGTGCAGAGAGAGGGCAGATGGTGGGCAGAGGAATAGAGGAGAGGATTCTACTTTTTGTTGGCCACGTATCCGAACAAATCAACAGAAAAAAGAAAAAAGAAAAAAAAAGGAGAAAAACCAAGTAAGTAGATTCACTTAGCAAGGAAAAGCTCTGCTTTTAAAGATACTCTACTTTTTCTCTTCTGGTGCCGGCTGAGTAGCATGTAAGACCCAGAGGAGTACACAAACCAGTCAAAGGTCACATTTAAAACAGGCATGAAGTTTACCTTAAAGATGTCAAAAACCTATGAGTCACGGGAACTGTTTTCTTTCCTTTACCTTCACTTTAAGGGAAAAGTCAAAGCTGTCCCTCCCAAGAGCTGTTAGAGATCAGGAAAAATGAAGGCCAGGTAAGCTACAGTAAGGGGACCTTTAGCAAGGCCGTGTGGAGGGATCAAAGGCTGAACCTTCCCCCGAGACTCTGTTCGCTCTCTCAGAAATGGTAAGCAGTGAGTAAGCGGGGCACAGGGGGGCAGGGGGATGCAGCAGGTCCTGGCTCAGCTTTAGAACAGTGGTTCAGGGAGTCCACATGATCCACTTTGCTAGACATGGAGTCACGGTTGAAGGAGGGATTACTGTTCTTCCTTGGAGAGTTCTCTAATAATGTGTGATGGGAGGAGGAATGAGATGGCAGGAATCTAAGAGGGAAGCCTCAAGACAGCGTGGATTCCACACTACCCAGGAGATGTGACCAACAATACAGGTCACTCCTCTATCATCTCACTAAAACATCCAAAGCAGACATGCAAACAAAACAGCAAAATGATTATGAACCGAGGACAAAAGAAAAAGGCTTATGGGAGTGAGACACAACATTCTGGTAAATATATTGGTTTTCCTACACTAATCCAATAGATCATGCAAAATTTAGTATGAATAAATAAAACATAAATACCTCCAACTCATTTTTATTTTTTAACAGAAGCACTTCTGAGTAAAGCCTATAGTGTTACATCACTCAGGGGAGAGGCTCAGGAGGTGGCTTGGGGGTCAAGGCTCTGAGCTCAAAACTCAGTCCCCACATGTCCCGGTCCCTCTCCCCACCCCCACTGCCTTCAAAACTGCTGGGAGGAAACTTAGTGGTCCTTGAGCACTGGAGCACTTCTGGGGTGGCTCTGGTGGCCCCCAGCTCCACTGCACTGACAGCTTGAATACTGAACCAGCTGCCTGGTTGCCTGAGTATCACTGGTCCCCTCAACACTTCTTGGCAGACCCCTAATTAAAAAATACATAAAAGAATAAAAAAGATGTAAAAATGAAAGTGATTCTGTGTATCATTATGATTTTTGGAAGAAACAAATTCAGCAACTCATTCAATAAAATAAAATAAAATTACTGTTAACTCATTTCTTATATTTTCCCTCAAGAAAATGTTTTCTCTATGTTAATTAGTACTCTTAGTATTGTTTAGCAGTATGTCTCATTTAATCCATCTAAAATCCTATTAGACAAAGAAAGTCAGAAATGATCACTCTGGATGAGAACTGCATTTTGAAAATAGGTAAAGGAACGAAGATGATACCCTCTTAGTAGAGAGAGTGCACGAGAATGCTGACCGTGGGGGAGGGGGTTTGAGGGGAGAAAAGCTGGGACATTGTTGGTGGGAAATGTGCACTGATGGAGGGACAAGTGTTGGAATGCTGTATGACTGAAACCTTAGCACGAACAGCTCTGTAACTGTGGATTTCACAGCAATTCAATTAAAAATAAATAAATAAATGCGATCCCATCAGAGAGGTGCTATTATCAGAAGTGAAAGACAAGGAACAGAAAAGGCGATTTAGGTCATGTAAGTGCAGAACTAGCATTCAGACTCAGGTATCTGGATTTAGAATCTCTGTTAATTCTATGTTTCTGGTGTTTCTGTTAAGAAGCACAGAAAAACAGTTGTTTAGGAATGTGAATCTGAGCCCACATACTCACATTGAGAAAGCGGCCCACATTGCCTTCTCTCCTGGCATCCAGTAAGAACTCAATCTTGTTCTTTGACCTCTTCAGGGAATCAGATGAAGCGTTATTGCTGGTTTCGCCTGGAAGCTCTTCATCATGACAGGCCTGTTGATTCTGACATGCTGGAGATTCTTTCTCATGGGGCTTTTCTATTTGAACATCCAATTTCCTTATAATATTCTTATTATTCAATGTTTCATTGTTACATCGGAACCTTGGAGGAATTTCCTCTCTACATTTAGTTATATCTATCACATCTGATTCAGTCGCCAGGTTGTCTTCAGAATCCTCAACTTCCTTTGAGCTTGCATCCTCTAATAAACAATTTGGAAAAAGTTATCAGAAAATACAGGTGGCCAAGCAATAATGCTGAGAGCAAAAGTAATTAAATGCTAGTTACTGCCACAATAATAAATGATTAGTGGTGTACAAACTTAGGAATCAAGTTCTAAATTCTGCCCCTTTTGTATATATAATTGCTTTTTATTATGAATCTACATCTTCCTTTCTATTATACATTTTGTTTTGTTTTGGGGCCACACATGGCAGTGCTCACATGTTACTCCTGGCAGGGCTCAGGGAACCATATGGGAGTGCCAGGGATTGAACGTGGGTCATCCACACTATCACTCTGGCCCCCTTCCTATTGTATTTTTAATCTCTTCTTCTTACATACCAATTTACGCTTCTTCATCCTCTTCAACTCCGCAGTCTGTATTTAAGTATACAGACTGTATTTAACAGACGGTATTTAGAAAGTTCTCTAGAAATACCAAGGGCATAAAGTCAAAAAAAAAAAATGCCTGGGAGGATCCTGTCAGCCACATGCCACAAGCTTCAGACAGCGGGCATTCTTACCAGAGGACTACCAAACAATTATACTTCACAAACAAAATATTTCATAAAGTGATTAGTTGCTTAACTCTTTCTTATCCAATAATGAAAATATTTTTGAGGATATTCAGAAGTATGACTTCATATCAAACAAAAGAAATAAAATCTTTCATGTTTTGCGGTGTCAGGGAGTGAATGCAGGATCTCACAGATACAAGGCAATAAAATCATGCAAAATGATTTTATTTCATTTAAAAATAAAATCAGGCTGGAGTGATAGTACAGTAAGTGGGTGAGGTGTTTCCCTTTACACAGCCAATCTGGGTCCAATTCACAGGATCCCATATGGTACCCCGAGACCGCCAGGAGTGATTCCTGAGCACAGTGCCAGGAGTCAGCCCTGAGTACTGCTGAGCGTGGCCCCAAACAAAACAAAACAAAATCATTCATTTAACAAAAGTCATTTGTGCCAACTAAGCAGCCCCAAATTTCTGTTCTTGGTTTAATTATTACTGTTTCTGCATATGTGCTTGCGTGTAGTCAAATTTCAGTCCTAACAGTATATTTCTGTAGAGCCTGTAATATATGCCGTGCATGTGTTAGGCCCTAGGTTCAATCCAAAGAAATAGTAAAAATTTACTGTTATTTGGTTATGGTGGCAGGTTAATTAAGAGTTCTAAGCCACCTTAAATTATAAATTACTTATTTCTGAATATTCCCTGTGTTTCATATGTTTTACTCATGTGGCTGATAACATATAGTAGTAATCTTTCAATCTATCTTTTGTCAGCCTAATTTATGGGGATCCATCTGGAAAATCTAAGATGGGTAGAAGACTTCTTCCTCCTTCGCAGCCTTATTCTGTGAAGAAGCTGCCTTTTCTCCTCCTGGCTCCTTTCTTCAGGATCAGGTGGAGTGCTAGGAAAGCAGAGGCAGGGAAGCTGGCCAGCCCTTCAGGAAGAGTCGTCAGCAAAGTCTCTCCACTGAGGGATGCAGTGAGATGCAAAGCACTGAAATCCAGCTTCGTGGACTGGGAATTTAGTGATGGCAGTGCTACTACTAACAAAACTGGAAGGCAAGCACTCAGGTACTTAAAAACTGTTTTCTTTTGCTGAGCATCGTTTGCCAGGCCGCAAGTCCCTCTGCTGCATCTAGGCAGGGGCCAAGTCATCCATATTTCAGATGTTGTGGGTTGGATGGTCTCTGATAGGACTGATCACTTCTGCTGCTACAGCAGGAAAGTAGTTGAGGCTTCTTGAAAGAATGACCTGGTTGGTTCCAGTGAAACTTTGTTGATAGACACTGAAATTTAAGTTCATATAATTCCCAAGTGTCCCAAAAGAATTACCTTACTTTTCCCAATTACTTAAAAGGGTGAACTTTATCTTAGATCACAGATTTTTTCCTTTTGTATTTCATTTTGGTTCATACTCAGAGGTGGTTGTGGGCTATTTCAGGTTGTGCTCAGGAGTAGGCTCTGGCAACTCCTGGGGCACCAATGTGGTGCCAGTGTTGGCTGTATGCCAGGCAAGAGCCTAAGCTCCTGTACAATCTCTCTAGAACTAGGTTACGGACCTTAACTAGGGGGGAGGCTGGAATTGGTCCACAAGCTATAGCTCACCAACTTCTCATCTAGACAAGGGGTAACTTCTGTGAAGAATTAAACATGTTATGGAATCTGATAAAAGGAGTAGAATATTGAACGAGAGATAAAAAAAATGATAAAGGAAAGTAATCATGAAGTGAAACAAAGCCTACTTTTCATGTCCTTGGTTTTAGAATTCAGATATACTCGGGTTGGTATAAATCCATCACTATCTTCTGAGGTGACGGACTTGGTGGAAGCAAATCCCTCAGAAGGAAACAAGGGAGAGTTCTTCAAGTTCTAGGTTAGGAAAAACAGAGTTTAGCAGTTAAGCATCTTTCATCAAGATTCATAAACTGTAATTACAAGATTTATTCAGGAAAAGCCTCAAAGTCTGTATCAGGAGGAATCTGAAATGATGGAGCTTTCTGGTTGGGTAATGCTTCTAGTCATTTCACAAAGCTGTAGAACATCAAGATATTTTTTAGGCTAAAATTCAAATACAGTTGTTGTGTCCCTTAATTCTACTACTGGATTGCTAATATCAGGCCCCAACTATGAAATGTACAAGGGGAAACTATTCTTTGGCTAATTTCTACTCTAAAAACCATTGCCTAGGGGTGGGGAGACAGCTCAAAGGGTCAGAGCATACTTTTCACACAACAGGCCTGGGAGCCATCCTGCAGCACACAGGCACACAGCCCCCTGAACACCTCCATGTCCTGCTTCCCCCCAGCCACCCCGGCCTGGTTAGAAAAGGTTTACTACTTTTTGGCTGATAGCCAGTATAGCACTTTAAATGGAATGACAACTTTTAGAATTTATTTATTTATTGCTTTTTGGGTCACACCTGGCTATGCACATGGGTTAGTCCTGGCTCATGTACTCAGGAATTACTTCTGGCAGTGCTCGGGGGACGATATGGGATGCTGGAAATCGAACCCAGGTTGGCCGTGTGCAAGGCAAATGCCCTACCCGCTGTGTGATCACTCCAGCCCATGGTAATGACAACTTTTTTTTTTTTTTTTGCTTTTTTGGATCACACCCGGAGATGCTCAGGGGTTACTCCTGGCTCTGCACTCAGGAATTACCCCTGGCGGTGCTTGGGGGACCATATGGGATGCTGGGAACTAAACCTGGTTTGGCTGCGTGCAAGGCAAACGCCCTACTCACTGTGCTATAGCTCCAGCCCCGGTAATGACAACTTTTAAAAGGAGGTAATATGCTTAGTACTATGCCTGGCACTCAAACATCTACTCAATAAATATTGACCTTTATTAATATTCAGGTAGTGAAACCGTCAATATTTTCCAAGTACTTAGTACACAATGTCAAACACTGGATGGCACCCAGTTTCAGAAGTTTATTCATTCTCTTAATTCTGAGAAAGACTGTTATGCTCAATTTTACACACACACACACACACACACACACACACACACACACACACACACACACAAAATCTCTCTCTCTCTCTCTCTCTTCTCTCTGAGCAGTCTCCAGTTGGCTGGCAGTAGAGTTGGAGGTGAAACTTAGATTCCAGTGAGCCTGTGGCCTGACAATTTTCTCCTGATTCTGTGATAATGGCATCACGACACACTGTTAGGCAATTGGAACATCTGCACATCACATAGGGCAGATGTCTTCTTACTTTTTACCTACAAGACTGACTATTAACTTCAATTATGACTGTCTGTCTCTGTTCATTTACCTGCACCGATCTCTTTCTTCTTTTAAGTTAGAGTCTGACTAGTTATTCTCCTCAGTTCAGGCTGCTAAGTGTACCTTCCATGGTTCATCACAAAAAATGCTGCTCCAGATGTTTCTTTCATTAGGGTCTAGGTCTTTTTTCTCCTTCATATTTTCCTATTTGTATACCTTATTCTCCTTAACCTAAATTACTCTATCCTCTTTCCTATTCTGTATTACTATCAACTCTTAAGAATTTACCTTCTCCTACGAACTTGACTACTTAGTCTCAGTGGAACACCCTTGTGATATTCTCAATATGTCTAAGTTGGGAAAATGCAAACCACTATGAAACAGACCCAATACTTCAACAGCATGTCCATTTCAAAAAATACCAGAAGCCTTACACATTAGTAACACAAATAATTTGAACCAAGTAAGAGAAAAAAGGTGACATAAAGGGCCGGAGTGATGATACAGTGGGTAGGGCACTTGCCCTGATATCCCATGGTCTCCTGAGCATGCCAGGAGTGACCCTGAGTGCAGAGCCAGGAGTAACTCCTGTGTATCATGGGGTGAGAGCCAGAACAAATAAATTAAAAAAAAAAAAAAGAGATGACAGCTTCAAGTTCTCAGGTTCCATTTACATTTTGTAGGGTTGTTTTTTTTTTTTTTTTACCTTCTTTTCCTCATTGCATTGAATACTGACTGTCCTGGCTTTAGGACTTTTAATGACTGAATGATACTTAATTCTTGAAGCTGTGTCACATTTTATTTCTCTGAAAAGGAAAAATAAAAATTATTCTGTAGAGCACTAAATTTTTTCTTAATTGGAAAAATATAGAAAACATTACTATTACATAATACCCACTAGAAATTAATCCATGCAATAATATCTATGTAATCCCTCACTGAGAAGGAATACAATCATATTTTAAGAGATTCCTCCTCCTCCTCCTGCTCCTCCTCCCCCTCCCCTTCCTCCTCCTCCTCTTCCTCGCTTTTTGGGTCATATCCAGTGATGCTCAGGGGTTACTCTGCACTTGGAAATTACTCCTGGTGGTGCTCAGGGGGGGCGATAGATATGGGATGTCCGGGATTGAACTCAGGTCAGCCTCGTGCAAGGCAAATGTATTCCCCGCAATATTATAACTCCAGCCCCTATAACCATAATTCAAAGTTAGAGGCACATCCTTGCTTAAGTGAGGACTTGACTTTGAGCCTTAGCACTGCCGAGCTGGGCCTGAGCAGTGCTGCAGTGCCGCACTGAAACCCGGCTGGCCGAGTATCACCAGGATTGAGCCTCCCCCAGGCTCCCTAACTACTGTTTTGGAGGCCTTAAACGTATATTAAAAGTTAATTTGTGGCAACAGTTATAGAACTCTGTAAATTTACAAAATGTCATTGCACACTTTGAATAAATGAATATTATGTCAGGCAAATGCTTGTTGGAGTTCCTGCTGGAAAAGCTCCCTAACCATCTGGAGCGGCTGACCTGTGAGTGCTCTGGCCCTGGACCTGGGTGATGGAGTGGTGCCGGGAGCGCTGACATCCCAGGGGGTTAGTACAGATTGACGGTGGGCTATGACTGGCCGCTGCGTGTGGAAGTGAGATGCTGACAACCCAGCAATCTAGACAATAATTCTGTTACTTTGTTTCTGCTTAGAGATCACAGAGACCCAGGCCAATCTTTCCCAAGTAACCATTCATTTCACCTTTCGCCTCCCTCTAACCCCATGCCCTCCTACTGCACACAGTGCAATCCCTTCGCTCTATTAAACCCTTAATAAGCCTGTCTGCTGGCCCTCAGCCCTTATTGCGCAGCTATGGATTATCCATCATACACTGCATCAGAATCAGCTCGTGTACCCAGGTCTTCCACTGTGGGACAGCGATAAATTATATTTTAATAATTAAACAAAGTGGAAATTCAGACCGTTCCACACACTTTTTTTCTTGCTGTGTGATGCCTGTTATAGGACCCAGAGCTCCTACAAGCAAAGTGTATACTTCAGCTCTTTGAGCCAGTTCTAGATTCTTCTTTATTTTTTTATTTTGGTGGTGGTGTGTATGTGGTGGTGGTGGTGGTGGTGGGTGGGTTGAGTGGGTGGGGGTTCCTCTTGGCTTGGCCTACGTTTTGCAGATTCTGTGCTCTTTGAGCCCTGCAATGCTGGGGTTACTTCTAGGGCTATTTTCAACCAGCCTACAGTTGTAAAACAAAACAAAACAAAACAAAACAAAACAGGCTAAAGATTACTGATAGGAATCAATCTTGATTCAGTTCCTAAGATCTCACTTACGTGACTGTTTCTTTTGGACTGTTATTGAAATTAGGTGGATACTCCCCAATTTTCACACTTGTAGGAGGTGTTTCTGATGCCAATGGAATAACTTCAACTTCACAATCTGCAACTTCTATTTTCCGTTTTTTTGAAAACGAATTTTTCATAATTTTCTCTTCTTTTCTATTTTTACTTATAGCAACATATTTCTCAGTGTTAGATCTGCTTAGTAATCTCCCTAAAAGAAAATAATAGTTTAAGAAAAAAGAATATATGATTTCTAAATAACAAAAGGACATCTCTACTCTTCTTTACTGCTAAAGAGGTGTATCTTACTTATAGGATCAAGACATATACATTTACTTCTCCTAGAAAAAGATTTCAAGAAACAATAAAAGACCAATAGTGAGATTTAATATTTCCCAGTATGTGAAAAGACAGAACCTGTAGAAGAAACATTTATCAGTTTTTATATACTGAAAAAAGGTAAGACTTAGCTACTATAACATAAAACAATAATAAAGATGAGAATGCATTCTAGAAAATTGGAGGTAAACTCTAGTTTTAAAACTGCAGGATTTATGTCTCATTTAAATGCTTTACCAGGATGTGGGGAGAAAGGGACTCTCCTTCACTGCTGGTGCGAATGCTGACTGGTTCAGCCCTTTTGGAAAACAGTATGGACGATTCTCAAAAAATTAGAAATTGAACTCCCATTTGACCCAGCAATACCACTCCTGGGAATATATCCCAGAGAGGCAAAAATGTAGTAGAAATGACATCTGCACTTGTATGTTCATTGCAGCACTGTTTATAATAGCCAAAATCTGGAAAAAACCCGAGTGCCCAAGAACAGATGACTGGTTAAAGAAACTTTGGTACATTTACACAATGGAATACTATGCAGCTGTTAGAAAAGATTTAGCACTGTCCTCCCATTGTTCATCAATTTGCTCGAGTGGGCCCAGTAATGTCTCCATTGTGAGACTTGTTGTTACTGTGTTTGGCATATCGAATACGTCATGGGTAGCTTGCCAGGCTTTGCCATGTGGGCAAGATACTCTCGGTAGCTTGCTGGGCTCTCTGAGAGGGGTGGAGAAAGGATGAAGTCATCAAATTTGCATATAAATGGGTCAAAATGGAAAGTATCATGTTAAGTGAAATGAGTCAGAAAGAGAGGGACAGGTATAGAAAGACTGCACTCAACTGTGGAATATAAAGTAACAGAATGGGAGACTAACACCCAAGAGTAGTAGAGGTAAGGATCAGAGGAGGTTGGCTCCATGGCTTGGAAACCGATGCGACATGGTGGGGGAAAAGGCAGCTCAGAGAGAGAAGGGAACACCAAGTAAAGGATGTTGGGAGGACCCATTCGGGTTGAAAGATGAGTTCCGAAAGAAGACTACAGACTGAACATGATGGCCGCTCAATACCTCTATCGCAAACCACAACACCCAAAAGAAGAGAAAGCAAAAGGGAATGCCCTGCCATTGAGGCAGGGTAGGTGGTGGGAGGCTGGGGTGGGGGTGGTGGGAGGGATGCTGAGAACACTGGTGGGAGAGAATGGGCACTGGTGGAGGGATGGGTAAATGATCATTATACGATTGTAATGCAAACACAAAAGTTTATGTACCCCACAGTGATTCACTAATAAAAAGAAATTTAAAAAAATGCTTTACCATCTAAAACCTCATTTTTTAATTTTTGGGCCATACCCAGTGGTGTTCAGGGTTTACTCCTGGTTCTGCACTCAGATATCACTCCTGGTGGGCTTGGGAGACCAGAGGGGATGCCGGAGATGAACTTGGGGTGCCCTACCACTGCACTGTCTGGTCCCAAAAGCTTACCTTTCTGACGAAGAGACTGACTCATTTATATCTGTGGTTGTATGTTCCTACTGTTCACCTATTAAATACAGTGTAACAGAATCTCAGTCAAGGACCAGAGAGCTAGTATGGGGGTGAAGGTAACTGCTTTGTCTACAGCCAACTCTGGTTTGATCCCCAGTCTTGCTGGAAGTAACACCTTGGCACCATGAGGTGTGACCCAAACCTCTCCCCCCACACCTTCCTAATTCTTAGTTCAAAGGTTATATCATTTCAAGGCACTAAAAAATGACAGTTATTAGTAAAAATCAGTCACTGAATTAAAAAGATACCATACATGCATCTTATAGCAATACAAATAAAGTCAATGACATTTACTTTCTGGACAAGATTTGATAGCAGCCAATTTATCAGTTATTTTTGCAAAATATGAGTTATGAGTATCTAGGCAAGTTGTATAGTATAGATACCTGTTAGTATGTGGCATGGATTCAATCGTGATGATTCTGAATTCTGACATTTTTTTTGTCCTCACTGAAGGAAACCCTGGAAATTCAGAGGTGGTGGGTTTCTCTGATCCCTGCTTCCTAGTCACCAAGACTCAGTCCAGAACATTCTTTTAGAGTGTCTCTAGAACCATGTTCTCTCTCCTTTCTCATTTCCTGATACACATAAATAGTATTGACGTTTGCCTGACAGGGGTAGGGAGAGATGAGACTGCTGGAGGCCAACTTATGTGGCTTGGGAACTGTGGCCTAAAAGAAAGAGTAATGCACAATTCTGAAATATTGGAGGAGATTTTGCTCAGAATGTGGGCATATTCTTCAGTCCCTGAAGAGAGGGAGCTGCTTAGCGTCGCTGCCTTCATCAGCCAAAGCTGGTACTTCTTACAAAAGGAACTTGCTAATGTGTGTGTGCTGGGGTTCCTCCAGCAAAGGGGGAGGGAACACGTTCAAAGGCAATTAAAAATCAATCCGTGTCCCCACGTCTTGGACTGCTAATCTTCACTTCAGCGTTATAGGAGCTGTCTTATTCCAAAAGTTTCATATCCCCAAGCATCTGAGGCCGTGGAGAAAAATAATAGTATGTGGGAGCCATTCCTTTCAGACTCTCTGGGACTGCTGAAAGCCCCTCATCCCTGCAGTGCCTGACACACCTCAAACCTGCTACTACGACCCTGCTACCCCAGGGTCCCGGCTGGTTAGACTTGAGATTCAGAAAGGGAGGAAACCTCATTGTGATCTCCAAGGAGTCCTTTTCTTTACCTGAATAAATGCAAATGAAGGTCCCTCTGTCGATGTCATCCAGGCAGCGGACGCCCCAGCCTTTCTTCTCAGTCCTGAACACCTGGAGCCTCACCTGAGGTCCGTGCTGCACAACTCGGTTCTGGCACAGTCTTCGGTTACATTTGCATAACAAACTGCACTCATAAATGCTGACAATAAAGCAGGGAAGAGAAAATCAGAGGCCCTAACTGGATCAAGAACAGTTTATTTTGCCGCCTTAGGAATAATTTCTGAGGGCAACAGACTAAGTGTGAAGGGTCCTGAAACCAGGCTGCCTGGGTACTAGCTCTCAGGAGTGGCCTGACCTTACATGAGTTACTTAACCTTTCTATGCTTAAAGTTTCTATTTTTAAAAAGGGAGTAATATAATAGAGCTGTTTGGTTAAGAGTAAATGAGAATTTACAAGATGCCTGAGATGATTTCGTGCATGCAGTAAATGTTAGCTCTTTACAGTTTAAGTGTTGGGGCTGGAGCAATAACACAGCGGGTAGGGCACTTGCCTTGCACGCAGCCAACCCGGGTTCGATTCCCAGCATCCCATATGGTCCCCTGAGCACCGCCAGGGGTAATTCCTGAGTGCACAGCCAGGAGGAACCCCTGTGCATCGCCAGGTGTGACCCAAAAAGCGAAAATAAATAAATAAAGTTGAAGTGTTGGGGGACCAGAGAAATAGTACAGTAGGTAGGTGTCTGCCTTGCATGTGGCTGACCTGGCTTTGATCCCTGGCACCCCAGATGATCCCAAGCCCACCAGGCCTGATCCCTGAGCACAGAGGCAGGAGTGAGCCCTGAGCACTGCTGGTATAGCCCCCAAACAAAACAAAACTAAAATACCTAGGAATGTCTAAGGAGGAAACATCTGGGAAGACAATGTCGAGAAAGAAACCTTTCCTGTTTGTCTTTTAATTACAACAACTTCGAAGGGTTAAAAATCCCCTGTTCTGGGGCTGGAGCGATAGCACAGTGGGTAGGGCATTTGCCCTGCATGCGGCCAACTCAGGTTCGATTCCCAGTATCCGATATGGTTCCCCGAGCACTGCCAGGAATAATTCCTGAGTGCAGAGCCAGGAGTAACCCCTGTGCATCACCGAGTGTGACTGGAAAAGAAAAAAAAATCCCCTGTTATTAGATAAATTCTGCACCATTGCTTTTACTGGTGGGAAGAGGCATTCCCAGGGATGCTTGGCGGACCTTGTGGTTCTGAGAATAGAAGCAAAAGTGTGTGCTCCATACCCACGGCTGCCTCAAGCAGGTCAACACCAAGGGAATAAAAGCTAGACTCAGAGCAGATGAGGGTGCACACCATGCATGACACACAGAGATGCTCTGATTCCCACTGCCAAGAATATTTGTGCTTTTGTAATTCCTTAGATTTCTAGAAATTAAGAGTTAACAGTATTATAAACCACAGGTTACAACAATAAAGTACCCTCTTCAAAAATACAAATAGCATATAACAAATCCTTAAGATATCTTACCCAGTAGGTATATGTGTCTGGAGTCTTTTATATCTATATCCAGTGGTTATTTTATTACTTAACAAAGGGCAAGTCTTGGTATTCCTTGCTGTCAATTGAAGGCAGGCACATTTTGTTCTAAAAAAAAGGCAACGGACAGAGAAATCAGATGAAAAGGCAGGATATTGTTTTGACAAAACTATAAAATGGTAGAGCAAAAATATATATAAAATTGTGTTATTTTTATTTTATTTTATAAAGCTGTTCACAATAATTCATTACGTCTAATATTGAAACACCAATCCCACCACCATTGCAGCTTCCTACCACTGTATTTCGAACGTTTCCACCCCAAATTCCAAACCATGTTCCCAAAGCAATTAATTCTGTATTGCTTTTTATGAATAATCTGCTAAAAATGGTCAAATAAAGTTTCCTTAAAGGAAAGTGTGTGAAGATTGTTGTATTTCATCCTTGAGCCATTAAGCCCTTATACAAGAGATTGCTAACATGTTTGTTAAGTCTCATCAAATGTGTGCTACTCTTGGTACATCAGTGGTGTAGAGTATGAGAGGTTGCTCCAGGAATTCTAACATTTTATGATTATACTACAGATTAAAACCGCCAGAACTCAATAACTGCCATGTTCCCAGCTGCTCTTCACGAGCTCAGATGAGTCTCACTCATGAGTGAATCTGCAGAAAAACCCAAGTATGCGGGACCTGTGACTGAAATCTCCAAGCCCATGAATCTGCTTTGTATAGTTGTATTTATAACAAAGAATGCTACACTTCCATACAGAGACTTCTTGAAAGAAGCGACCAAAAAGTTTTTATTATTAAAAACTACACTGTACCTCTATTTGCTCATTTAGTACTTAATTATATGGGTTTTCTTTAACTTTTGAAAATCAATTCAAAAATCAATTCTTTCTGGAGCCAGAGCGATAGTCCAGCCGGTAGGTCATTTGCCTTGCATGTGGCAGCCCTGTGTTCAACATTGGCATCCCATATGGTCTCCTGAGCCTGCCAGGGGTGATTCCTGGGTGCAGAGCCAGGATTACCCTTGAGCACCACTGGATGTGGTCTCAAAACAAAAACAAAAACAAATTCATTTCATTCCCCATTTAGCAGAAGCTAGTGAAAATTCTTCAGGTCCACTCTCCTTAAAGGGTAAGCGCAAATGTGAATGTGTTAAAACTCAAAAGGGCATGCAAAGTTTTACAGATGTCTTAAATAATCTATCCAACATCAAGAAAACTAATTGGGGAGTTTGATACTAGGCATATGTTTTTTACGTATTTTTATAAAATTATAAGCATTATAATAGATAATAGATAATCACAACTCTGTTTCTCCAATTTAGGCAGAATAACTTTACAAGGGGAATAAGGAACGTGGGCATCTCAGCATAAATTAGGTGTGTTCCCACAGGTGAGTTCGTTAAAAATCTCTGGATTGTTTCCTCTGTTGAACGAGAGGTCCTTCTCAGGATGAGGAGGGAAAAAAACAAGGTCTTTTCCATTCTGACTCTGATTCTCCTGTACTTTTTCATATATATAAAATGTATGTCATAGAGTGGTAACTACTGCTTGCGATAGTGAAAATGCATTAATGCATTAATGTCTAGTCCTTTTTCCTGTGTGGTGGAATAAATTCCATGATCTTCTTTGTAAACAAACTGGTTTGGGGCTGGAGAGATTCCCCTACGTCTCATCAGAAGTCGAATTGATTCACCAAATTCAACTGTCAGAAACTACTTAACCCTCTAAAGTTCAGTCAACCAAATTTCAGCTGGAAGTCACAAGGAAATCGAAGGAGTAAGAATCAGAGAAACAGCAAAACAGCTCTTTAACCCTCATCGAGACAAACTTCAATGAGACTCATGATTTCCTCATAATGCAGAAAAGTGACTCTCATCATCCCTGGACAGCGCAGGACAATGGATGCTTTATTACAAGCACTGCTTTGGATCCAGGGTTGGACTGAAATCTTAGTACAACTAATAAGACTGTATTGTGATTTAGAATTGTGCCTCTAATTCAAATTTTTGTGTTTTTGTAAAAAGAAGAGGGGGAGAGAGAAGCTGTAAAAAATATATCTTATGCGCGTGTGGGCGGGGGAGGGATATGATGATGATGATGATGATGATGATAATGATGTGCTGTTGGCGGGCTCTTGGGCAGCTCTCTCTTGCCGCCCGTGTTAGGTGCTCTCGAGCCACTGTGTATGGACTGGATTGGGATGGCTCCTCCTTTGTGCTGTGCTTCTGTGCGTGCCGCTGTGCTTTCTTCTGTCTGTCTATTTCTCACTCTGTTTCTGTAGTCTCTCCTCTGGTCTCTTCCGATCTCTCTCTCTGGAGTTCTGCTTTTTCTCTCTCTGGAGCCCTTTGCTCTGGATTCTGACTCTCTCCCAGTGGATTCTGACTCTGCCCCTGGATTCTGACTCTGGCCTGGATTCTGTCTCTGGCCTGGATTCTGTCTCTGGCCCCTGGATTCTGAATCTCCTCTCTGCTCTTACACTCTTAGTTTATAAAGCAATCACATAGGGTGGGTGGTGACACAAAGGTAGGTTGAACATTAACAAATCCACAAAGAGAGATAAGACCACTCCTCCAGGAGATTAACTCAAGAATAAAATCTCATCTAGAGAGATTACTCTGGATTACTAGGAGATCCCCTTAAGAGTGGGATCCCATTCAGGGTGTGTCACTTGTCTTCTTTCCTCAGCTAGTAATCCACTTAAACAGTTGTAGTAAATTCACTTCTAATATTTCTAGCATTGTCATTCTGTATGAGAACAGTAAGAGATATATCAACTTAAAGTTTGGTTCTTCCTGAGGACGTCTTACCACAGTCCTCAGGCTAGGTTAGTCTTCCCAACCCCAGCAGGGTCCTAGTCTCGTTGTTTCTTTTGGATCATGACAGCATTTGTCTATGATCATGCTCTCAACTGAGAGTTGAATATTGTGGCACTTTGGCCTGGCCCATTTCAATGCTAGGGTAGCTCACTGCTTGCCCTGGTTCCATTCAGTCCTTCATCAGGACCCTGCTTTAGGGGTGCTAGGAACTAAGGGCAACTGAGTCAGAGCAGATGCCCAGGAGTAAATATTACTGGAGCCAATCAACTCCCAAGTTACAAAGCATAATGTTAACTGTCTTCCTGTGTCTATACAGAAAGGACATTACTTTAAGGTAAACTAAGTTCCCTGAGGCAAGGCTGAAAGGACAAACTCACTGTTATCCTACAAATAGGATTTAAAACATTACACTTATTTGTTTGATAAAGCAGAGTTTGAAAGCATTGACTGTGGTTAGGAAAGGTTTTTACTGTAGGTAAAACGCCACCAAACAGAATCACAAAATATAGATAAAGATCTCTTGTTTCCACAAGAAGTCATCCAGCAAGACAAACTTCATTGTTATCTTCTGTGAAGAAATTGTTGCTACCCTAACATTTGGCAACCACAAATCTGATCATTCAAAGCCATTCACATCAAGGCAAGACCATCCCCCCTATAAAAAGATTAAGAACCCCATTCATTGCCAAAAATAACCATTAACTTGGTGATGGCTTAGATGATGATCAGCATGCTTTACCAATAAAGTACCTTTACTACAAAGCACATAGTTTTTCACATATAACACTACTGCACATTTACAGAACAGTGTAAATATAATTTGAACACGCACTGCAAAGTTAAAAAATTCATGTGATCTGCTTTCTTGCAGTAGCTTGGAACTGAACCTGCAATATCGCCAAAGTGTACCAATAGGGGCAAACATACTTATTTATGTGAATAAACTAAACAACAAAAACTTTATCCCTATTATGTATGATGCTCTTGAGGATTTTCTAAATTATTGAATCAAAAAAATCTACATGGGCTGGAAAGATAGTGCAAAGGTTAAGGCACCTGTGTAGCTTGCAGCTATGACTAAGACACCACCTATGGACTTTGGATTCCCAAGAACTGTCTGTCATAGTTCATGGAGCAACAGAACCAGGGGCCCCCAAAATGTCAACCTACCAACCCATTAATGATTTTATATTCCACTAAACCTGTAGAAAAATAGTGCTCAAGACATACTTAAAAGATCAATCCTACGGTCACTTGTAAGACACTTCTCTACCACTTGGGCTGCATTCTTTGCCTGATCTTTGTTTTTCTATTCAACGACCTTGAGTCTTGTTTCTCCTATTTACAAATTGTTCATCTTCATACTGCCATTTTTCATTCTATAATTTTGTTTTCTTAATTCATGGGCGCTAATATTTTATCTCTGGAGATTTTAATTGTACCTGTGTTAAAATATTTTTCAATGAGGGCCTACAATTTACTTCTGATTCTTCAGGGGAAAGTGTAGATTAAAATATTTACTTTATCTTATTTCAGTCATTCAGGGTGAATTTCCCTATTAGGTGGGTCTAATGCTGCCTTCACTGTTCAAATATCTCTGTGTAAATCAGATTTGTGACATTTACTCCACAGGCTCTACGTTGCTTCCCCCATTACTGATATGTGGCTTTCACAGATTCAAGTCTGTTTGTTAATACAATTCTAGACCTTGTTGAAAGATACTAGCATATTTTCCAGGCTTGTGAAGATCCTTATTTCTCTGGCTCTGGCGCCTAGCTTAGTTCCTCCCCACCCCCACCCCCCCTTCATGGGATACATTTAATTCCCCTTCCTGTAAGGATTAGAATCTCTGCCCCCTAGAGGTAATGTTTTAAAAAGCAACGTATATTTAAAGAGAATAAAAGTTGGCATAAGCCTAAAAGCAAATTTATCTAACTCATCTCATACTCTAGCTAAGACGGTGAAAAGTACTATCTATACTACTTAATTTCTCTTTATTGCTCTCATTTTCTTTTGCCTACTAAAGTAGCTAAATTTGCCATATTCATATAATGTGTTCCTCTACAGCTGCAGATAAACAAATGCACATATACTATATACTCTAAAATAGCTTTCAAAGTCTTAATATATTAGAATGTTTTCAGTTTTGAAATGCCAATGCAATGATCCAGAGTATTAATAATACATGCCATTAACTTTCCAAATATGTACCACGGAAATGACTGGTAAAAGTTACATACAGATAGCTAGAAATGATCACTCTGGATAAGAACTGAGTGCTGAGGTAAAGAGACATACATGATAACCTTTATAAACCTGTATTACAAACCATAATGCCCAAAAGAAAAGAGAGAGATAGAGAGACAGAGAGAGAGAGAGAGACACAGAGAGAGTGAGAGAGAGAGATTGAGAGAGAGAGAGAGAGAGAGAGAGAGAGAGAGAAGAAAAGTGTCTGCCATAGAGGCAAGCTGAAGGAGGGGGTGTGGCAGAGGAGAAATTGGGGACTTTGGTGGTGGGAAATATGCACTGGTGAAGGGACGAGTGTTGGAACATTGTATGATAGAAACCCAACAGTGACAACTTTTAACTGTGTATCTCATAGTAATTCAATAAAAATAAATTAAAAATAAAAAAAAGTTACATACATATATACATAAGAATTGCCCAGTAAATAGCTCAAAGGGCTTGAGCACACACCTTGCACATGGGAGACCTAGGCTGATTTCCCAGCACCACGTGGTCCTTAAACACTGCTGGGAATGACTCCTGAGCACCAACCTGGTAAGCCAAGAGTAGCCCCTAAGTACCTCTGGACATGACTCTCCTAAATAAGCAAGTAATATACAATAAAGGAACTAGGGTTATAGTTTAGTATAACACTGCATGTGTCAGGTCCTGGGTTCCAGCTCAACATCACACAACACACAAATAAAAGTAATGTACAATATATAGGATAGTGATTAAGAATATACATTAATCTTAAGATCCTGACTCTCCAACTGTTTGCTCTATGACATTTTGTTTCTCAACTTCCTTACTTGTAACACAGAAATAATATTGTCTATTTCATTTTTTTTGGTGAAGATTTGATAAGATAAATATATGTTAAGAACTTATCTTGGGGGCCGGAGTGACAGCACAGCGGGTAGGGCGTTTGCCTTGCATGCGGCCCACCTGGGTTCGATCCCCGGCATCCCATATGGTCCCCCAAGCACCGCCAGGAGTAATTCCTGAGTGCAGAGCCAGGAATAACCCCTGAGCATCGCTGGGTGTGACCCAAAAAGAAAAAAAAAAACCTTATCTTGGTGTCTGGAATTGTTTCTTGGCATTAACTGTATTGTTGCCATATGATTATGGTACTAGATTAAAGGAAATACTAAATTATGGGAGAAATAATTTCAAATTACTATAATATCTGGCTAAGAGTTTTCTTTTTCTGTTGTAAAAGTGAGAGAATGTATCTTTCCATCTTTGATCCTTAGTGAACAGGTTTAAGAAGGACAAACACAACAAATCGATGAACAACAGGACCTCTTGATAAGTAACCAATAGTGAGAGTTTTTGGAATGTCATGTTTTTCTACTCACACGTCTATGCAGCCTTCAGAACAGTCACATGAATCAGTGAATATGTTGGAAAAGCTGTTTAGATAATATGCTCGTGGCCACATAGTCCTTCTGTACTTAAACTGTGGAAGCGTTCTAGCGTCAATTTCATTACAGAAAGAAATGGGCACTGATTCCACGCCATTGCTAATATCAGTATCAAAAACAATTTCTTCTTGCTTTGGATAATTCCGGGTCAACTGAACATATGTATTGAAAGAAAAGTTATCTGTGAATAAAAAGTTACACTCTGTCTCAAGCAGGTAACGAAAAACTTCCTCCATGTTTCGTAGACTCCTTCCACAAGGGGTTTTATAACTCACATGGAGCGCTGATGAATGGGAGTTTGTCTTTGCATGCTGCCTCTGGAAGTGGCATTTGATTGGGAGCTGCAGAGGGTTTTCACCTTTGAAGGCTGGTGGCATTTTCATCAGACAGGCACCAGAGCAGTTATGCCTTTGGTAAGATAAATTTAAAGGAGCTGCTTTTTCTCTCGTGTCTGCAACTTTATTTTCCAGATGGGGAGTTTCTTTATTATTTGTAGATCTGTTTAAAATGATTAACATATTAGTACCTCAAATTTAGAGTATAATTTGATTTAAAAAATTGCTCACTATGGTGGTAATTTGTTCCTATTTTCTTTTTAGATAAAACTAAAAGAAGCCAGATTCTGCGATAACCTTTCCATCAAGTTATGCATCCACAAAAACATTGCCCCGCCAACTCCTGATTTTGTTAGTTTGTTTGGGCCATACCAAGTAGTGCCAGGGCTGACTCCTGACACTGAGCTCAGGGATCACTTCTGGTGGGGCTCAGGGGACCACATAAGATGCTGAAGATTGAACTTCAGTCAGCCACGTGCAAGGCAAATGCTTTACTGGCTGTATTATGCTCTGGCCATCCCCATCTGCTTTTGGACACCAAATATGGGGTGATGCCCAGAAGCAATTCTTGAACCAAATGTCCAACAGCTCAATTCCGAGACTATCCACCTGGAGTCAGCATCAGATCCCACTAGTGTGTCTCACAAAATCTCTCTGTTTCAGATGCCAAAGTCCCAGGTTCCCACACGTCTGACTAACCTAGGGGTTCCCATAAGCCCCTCTTGACATTTGATAACCTGCTAGACATTTGCAAACAACCCAGGGAAGCATCTTCATTACTATTACCAGTTTATAATCCAAGGTGAAAATTCAGGAAGAGCCAAAAGGAAGATTTATGTAAGCAAAGCCCACTTAACATTACCCTCCCTTTATTTAAATACCATTTACAAAGTTGTTCATGATGATCTGCACTTCCCGTAGGTTTGCTACCAAGTTATGGTAAGTAAAATAATTTAAGAATTGCAAATTTAGAAACTTACTGCAACTAAACAGAGCCACATTTTAATGCATTTTACAAGAGTTTTAGAAAACAAAACATCTGTTTTCACAGTTAATTTGAGCACACTGGCCTAAGAACTGTGTGTTTCTGAGGTGGGAGGGAGTAAGAACGTGGTTATTGTTCTATCATTCTTACTGCATTTTCTGTGTAGAATTCTATTTTTTTTTTTCCTTTTTGGGTCACACCCGGCGATGGTCAGGAGTTACTCCTGGCTCTGCACTCAGGAATCTCTCCTGGTGGTGCTTGGGGGACCATATGGGATGCTGGGAATTAAACCCATGTTGGCTGCGTACAAGGTAAATGCCCTACCCATTGTGCTATCGCTGCAGCCCTAGAATTCTTTTATAAGGAAGAACTTCCCGTCTTCAATCCTAGTGTTATCCTGAGATAGTAGGGAAACAGCAGGAGAGTTTATTTTTTTCTCTTTAACTACTGAAACTCAGAATGAGTTGTATCCTAGCAACTACCAAAGTGATTTTTTGGGGGATAAGACAGGCAATGCAAGGGGACTAGGTGCTCAGTGCACTCCCAACCTTTGAGCTATCTGTCCAGCCCTCCAAAGTGACTGATGTTTTGGATGTTCTTATACACACATGGTTATCAAATCCACACTCCTACATGTAAGCCAAGTATTCAGCCTTTGAGTCATGTCTATCTCTCCAGCCTCTGAATTTGTTTTTAAAAGGTAATAAAAATCTATGCTGGTTATCAGGAAAGAATCTCTTGAAGGGGGGAAAAAAAGTTGTTTTGTGAGTTATTAAAGTGACCAGTTAAGGATTCTTAAAATGTGAATTCTCTGAATTAACAACAAAAAAGATTTAACTTAGATACATACAGAAAAGCAGAATCTTCTGGAAAGCAGTCTTCGTGTGACGTAGAGGGTAATAAACTGGGCTTATTTTCCTGCACATTCTGAATCACAGACACATGATCTACATTAAAAAATATAAAATGAGTAACAAATACATCAAGGCAAATCAATTACTGTAATATCTGAATCAAATCTTTACTAAAAACTAAAGATGGAATCCTCAAAACTGCTAACATAAGACTTCAACGTTAAATCAAATGTGACAGAAATAGTTCTTAAAACAAATACGATAAAATAAAGTACTTATAGAGTAGAGGAGATTTTTTTAAAAATATTTTTGGGTTTTTTATTGTCTTTTTGGGTCACACCTGGCAATGCACTCAGGAATTACTCCTGGCAGTGCTCTGGGGATCATCTGGGAAGCCAGAGATAAACCAAAGTCAGCTGCGTGCAAGGCAAATGTCCCAGCTTCTGTACTCTTGCTCAGGTCCTACAGAGGAGATTTCTACTGCAGAAACCACAAACAACTTTATCTGAATTAAGCAAATATCAAATTTTTAATTATTACTATTTCAGTAGCATTTTATAGAAACATAAATAACTCAAAGTTCTATGAAAGATCATATCTTTTGTTTTCTTTTTTTTTTTACCTTTGGGGTCACATCTGGAGATGCTCAGGGGTTACTTCTGGCTCTGCACTCAGGAATTACTCCTGGTAGTACATGGGAGACCACATGATATGCCAGGGATTGAACTCAGGTCAGCCATGTGCAAGACACATGCACTATACTATTGCTCTGGTCCTCTCCCTGTTATTTTTGAGGGCAAGAGAGGGAAACTCTCTTATGTTTTTCTTTTTCTTTTGTTGTTTTTGGGTTGCACCCTGAGGTGCTCAGGGCCTACTCCTGGCAAGCTTGGGAGATCAAACCGGATACTAGGGATCAAACCTGGGTCGGCCATGTATGTGCAAGGCAAACGCCTTACCAACTATACTATTGCTGGTAATACAATATTCCTTTTTAAACAATAAAAAACATGATTTATTACAAGAAAGTTTTTAACTCTTAAAGTTACCAACAATGTCAATTACATAGCTCCCCAACTTTACTTGCAAATACTGTATGACCACTGTTAATGTTTTTATTTTGATAAATTATATTTCACAAGAACAATATAAAACCATAAATTAGGATATTCAACATATCTGACAAAATAATTACTTTTAAAAGAGCTGAAAATTTAAAAAGATTTACTTTGTAGAAAATAAGATTATTTCAAAATTTCAATTTATAATTAGTTCCTTTAAAATTAGTTCATTTTACTACCTCCTGCATTTGGATACCTTTTTAGGGCTCAAGGATGTGACTCAAGTGATTAGAATACATGCTTTGTATGTTAAAGAATCTGGATTTGATCTCTGGCAATGTATGCTCTCCTCAGCACTGTCAGAAATAGCTCTGGTAGTGCTCAAGTATCAATATCTGAGCCCCCTGAGAGAACAGCCCTAGGTCCCAAAACTGTGGCCTAAAATTAAAAAAAAAAAATTAGGGCAGAGAGATAGTCCAGGGGTTAAGGTGCTTGCCTTGCATGCAGCTGACTGGGTTTGATTCCTGACACCACATATGGTTCCCTGAGCACTGCCAGGAGTGATCCCTGAGCACAGAGCAGACATTAACCCTGTATACAGCTGTGTGTGGCCCCAAACACCTCTCTCCCCCAATAATTTATAATTCCTAAGGGTATGTTGATTCCAAGAGGTACTAAAGAATACTAGGAAAGGCTGACTTAAAGAGTCTATTTTCCTAAAACCAAAACCTAACTGGAGACTATTTCTTTTTTGTTTTTGTTTTTTTTGGCTTTGAACTCAGGAATTACTCCTGGCAGTGCACAGGGGACCATATGGGATGCTGGGACTTGAACCTGGGTGGGCCGCATGCAAGGCAAACACCCTACCCACTGTAATATCGCGCCAGCCCGAACTGAGACTATTTTTGACAAATAAAAAGTTTCTTCAAAATAGCCTGATAGAGTTAGGGAGGTGACTCAAAGTGCTGGGGCTTATGGCTTTTAGGCTGAAGTCCCAAGTTATACCCCTGGGTACTCTCTGAGCACTGCTTGGGGTGGACTTTTGCCTAAGCACCACTGGCCTGAATTATGCATGACTGGGCCAAGTTTTGAACCTTCAGGCCTGTAACTCTAGGCTGAGCCACCAGGAATGGTTCCCTGGGTCCCTGAGCACCGACTGGTAGGGCTCCCAACAGATAAGATATCCTGATATTGTTAAGTCATATTTTCAGAGATTTAAAAGTCTAAGGTACCAAATTATGGTAGTTAAAATCACTACAACTTTATTGTCAATATTTAGCAGTATTTTTTTTTCTTTTTGGGTCACACCCAGCGATGCACAGAGGTTTACTCCAGGCTCTTCACTCAGGAGTTACTCCTGGTGGTGCTCAGGGGACCATATGGGATGCTGCAAATCGAATCCGGGTCGGCCACGTACAAGGCAAACGCTCTACCCACTGTGCTATCTCTTCAGCCCCAATATTTAGCAGTATTTATCAAATATTATGATCAAGATCTACCAAACACTATACTTCCCTCAACACACTAGCAAATTGACTAAAATTTATAGTACAGTGATTTTTGATAAAGCCAGTTTTCAATTTCTTTTAAAACAAATGACAAGATCTGGTACTCTATTTCTCAAAAGCCACATCCTCCCGCATTCATGGCTCCCCTGCGCTTTCTCTGCGTGCCAGCAGGCACCCTCCACCAGCTCCCACACAATCTGTTAGTGGCAAAGAGAGTTAGTTGGTCTTGTATCATCCAAAGTTCTCTTCTGTTTTTCTTTTTTAATTTTTCTAATTCTGGAATGGTTTCTCCAGTCAATTCCTTCTAAAATGAATTTGTTTATGGTTGAGAAGACTGACGATATAATCATGCTCGGAAAATTAATCCACCAAAAAAAGGTTCCACTAGAATACAACTTTCTAGTATGGTCTCTTTTCACAGAGTGGGTTTACAATGATTTGGAGTCTTAGAAAGCTATTGATTTTTATGAGAGGTTATTTATTTATTTTTTTTTTTTTTGAGAGAAGATAGGTCTATTCATTCTTTCCCCACGAGGCTTAGTAGAATAAGATTTCCCTATCTCTGAGTGGGCAAGATATTTTATTTTTTGTTTTTGGGCCACACCCAGCAATGCTCAAGGGTCACTCCTGGCTCTGTACTCAGGAATTACTCCTGGTGATGCTCAAGAAACCGTATGGGATACTGGGGATCTATTTCAGGTCAGTCGTGTGCAAGGCAAGTACCCCACTAGCTGTACTATCACTGCAGCAGCATGATATTTTATTTAATAGAGGAATTGATTTGTACAACTTATCAATATATTTCAAATTATTTTTAGCTAACCCAACATAATTAAGGTCGGTTTCAAATCAAGAAAATAACACAAAATACTCTAGATTGGGATGTACATACCCTTCATCAGCATTGAATTATTACTTATAGTTGCTTCATTCACTAGGATCATTGCTTGGATATATTCTATGAAGGAAAGAAAAAAAAATAAAAATAATCAGCAGTCACTGTCACTGTCCTGTCACTGTCCTCCTGTTGTTCATTGATTTGCTCGAGCAGGCCCAGTAATGTCTCCATCGTGAGACTTGTTGTTACTGTGTTTGGCATATTGAATACATCATGGGTAAGATTTTCCGTGAATCAGCAGTAGCATCACCTTTATTTGTGGTGCTAGCTCTGTATCAAACAATTTATATACTCTTCCTCATTTAATCTTCACAGCTCCTTTGAGAGTTTCTTATGGTTATAAGTCTGAGAGACCAAAAAATTCAGGTTAGCAGTTAACCTCAGAAGTGGCAGAACTGATTTCAAACCTTTATCTGACTCATGAAGGCATAGAAATGAAAAACAGCACTAAAACACTGGATGAACATAACAGAGATATGCTAAGAACACACACAATATATTAAGAATAGCCTGATGAAAAAATAAGGAATAGTCGTGAGGAGAAATTTGCTTGAATGAACATAGTTTTAATTAAACACTGGCTGAAAAGAAAAAAAACCAAATAGGAGAATTGAGCTGACTGCCTATAGAATAAGTTCTGTTTAAAGCTGACCAAATAAAGGCACATATAGATATTTTTTAGTGTTGTACTGATGCAACTCAGGGCCTCGGAGAATGTTTTACTGGTGAGCCACATCCACAACCTGTTCTTACATATTACAAGTAAATACAACTTTAAGTTGTATTTGAATGATGAAGTAACTGGAAATTTTTGTATTTTCTATACATACCAAATGTTTCACTATATGCAGATATTACTTTGTATATAGTGAAATGCCCCTTGAAATTCCCATCCCCCACAAAAAAATGAAACCAAGAAAAATAAGATAAAATAAAATGGGGGGAATCGATAGACTGAGAGAAAGGGATTTTAAATCGGCCACAGAGATAGCTCAGTTGGTTTGCATACAAGAGCCAGCACCATTGGTACAATCCCTGAGCACTGAGCTAATAATAAATGGCCAAAGGCAGTAGTACTGAGAACTACTCTTGTGGGGGGCAGGGAGCTGGAGGAGCGGTGGGTTGGGAGGAGGGAGGCAAAGGTGTAGAAGTGGGAATTCTGGTGGTTTTGGTATATTGTGTACATAAAATGCTATTACTAACAGTATTATAAATCATGGTGCCTTTAAAAATGAGTTAATTATTTCACCCTTTATTTCCCCCCCAAAAAACAAGATTTGGAAGGATTGGGTTACACTCAATGGTATTCAGGGCTATTTCTGATGGGTCTGTGCTCAGACCCCTGGTGGAGCTTGGGGGAGCCTGTGTGGTGCCAGGTACTTAAACCAAGGTGGGTGGGATGCAGGTAAGTGCCTTAACCCCTGTATTTTCTCTCCCTACCTTAACAACTGGACTCCGAAAGCAATACTGGGTGAGAATTACACTTCAGAATTACACTGAGTGTAAATGTACTGACAGTTTTTTAAATATACCTTTAGTTGTGGCAGATCCATCTTTGATCTTCTGTTTTAGTGACTGCAACACACTTTGTACTTGTTCAAATATGAAATCTATTTTTCCATTACCTTCCAGTTCCATCCAGAAAGCTTTTGCATCACCTAAAAAATAAGTGAATGGGCTAGAAGCATTAGAAATAGAAAATATGCTCTTTAGGTACATGTTCAGAAATTCCACTTGGTTTATAATTTAATAAGGTTGTCATTTAATAGGTTTATCTTCCTTGATGATAGAGCTATAACCTCCACTGAGTATAGGTCTGGATGCCTTCAGAATGAAATACCCCAACTATTGAGATAATTAAATGAATAATAATACTTCAAAAAAATCTTTCTATATTAACATTTTTACCACTACATGAAGCAAAATATTTAGTTTTAGAAAATTCTAGAGGTGAGTCAACATTTTAGATGCTCGGCAAGACCTTAAAATTTTCCTAGGAAAATAATAATCCTTTCATGAATAAGAAGGTAATTAAGTTGACAAAAGATAAATCTCACACATCATGCTTAAAACAAAGATAACTAAAGTGTTAAATATAATCAATAAAATGTAAAACTGCATTTAATGTTTAGAGAATTAATAGAGTCATAAGCTAAGCAGGTGCACAAAGGTAACTGCATTTTTAAAAGATCATATGAGAAGTCAATGGGAAGATTAAACATGCTGAGAATTAATTTCTAAAAAAATACATTTCCCTTGATAAAAATCAACCCCTGGGGGCCAGAGAGATAGCACAGCATGCAACATGCCTTGCACGCAACAGATCAGGGTTTGATCCCTGGCACCTCTGAGCCCTGCAGGAGTAATCCTTGAGCACAGCCAGGTGTAGTCCAAAAGCAAACAAAACAACAACAGAAATAAAAGCAAACAAAAACAAATCCCAAAACCTCATGCTCTGGCAATGGAGAATCTTCATAAAACTTATGCTTGCGTCCCAACTCTCCATGGCCAAGTTGACTTACCCAAAAGGGATCTCTGACTAATAGGGCTCTTGGCACCTTAGCTGTCTCAAAAGAGCTGCTGTATCCTTGTTACGCTCTGACCTGATGTGCACACAAGAGTAAGTCTACTTTTAACTCCCCATACACGCCTCAGACACTTGAAACAAAAGCAATGTGAGAAGACAAAAGAGAAACTGCATCAGAGAGAAAGGTGAAGGTCCTGTGAGCTGGAGAACATGTGTGTCATGAGAAGAAATTTCATTTTTGTATGGAAAGAAATAGGAAGCCTCCCAAGTTTAAGCTCAGGGGACAATAAGATGCAAAGCATGTCCACGGAGCTATCACCCTGGTCTTATTTTCTTAAACACAAGGGCCAATCAACACATACGAAACTGACTTCCCAGTTTCAATTTCTTATAGTAAATATGAAGATATGAAGATATAGAAACAAAAGCTGTTCTGTTGGGGTTTAAGAGTATAAAGTAGTCCTGAGACCAAAACAAAAACAAAAACAAAAAAAAAAGGAAGTTTGAGAATCTAAAGTCAAGAAAATGGTCCAGTGAGTTCTTAAAAATCCGTATTATAAGTACAATAAGGGGTGATGAACTATTATTCACATGATACTGCAACAGAAATACATAACTTTATGTACTTTCAGTTTTTATTTTATTATTCATATTTGTTTTTTGGGCCACACTCAGTGATTGATGCTCAGGGGTTATCCTGGCTCTGCACTCAGGAATTACTCCTGTGGTATTTTGGGGACATATCACATGGGATGCTGACGAACGAACCTGGACTGGCCACAATCCCTGTCCACTGTAATGTCATTCTGACCCTGACTTTATGAGTTTTGAAAACCCATAAAACTTTGAAGCATGAAGGGTGGATCTTAACAAATGAAAATAAAAAATTATTTAAGACGTCAGGAATCCTGGGAAAGAATGCATACTGAAGAGAAACTAATGGGATAAAAGGGTGTTAATCTAAATGATTTTGGAAAGGCAAAAATAATTGTGCACAAGCACTATAGCTTCATATTCAGTAATATATTTGCATTTTTGATACTATCTTAGCATTTCTAATGCTAGAACTGGGCTATTAAGTAAAACAGACAATGACTGTCACATTTCTCACTACTGTGAGTGGGAGTTTATAGATAGTAGACTACCTGAGTGATCCATCTGGCAACAGACTACAACGGGAAACAGTGTAAAGTGCTGTTAGCTTAATACAGATGGCAAAATACACAAATTTTATATGTGTGTGTGTATCTGTATACACAAGTTAGAATACTCATAAAATTTCTTTGATCTATCTGCTGAGAGAACCTATCAGCAATGACAATTCCATAACCTTGAGCATGTCTTTTGTTCAGACTTTGTTTTATATTTGTTTGTCTGAATACGCTGGGGTGTGCATGGGCGTGGGGACTGAACCAGGTACCTTTAAAGCATATGCTCACCACTGAGCCATACTCCTGGCCTCAATCTCTGTCTCTAAAACACCATTTCTAATAAAGGGAACAAGAGCTCACTCAAAATTAGAGAGTAAGAAAGAATGTACCTGTCATAAAGGCAAGTGGTGGGGTCGAGTGGGGGTTGTGGGAGGGACACTGGGAATACTGGTGGAGGAATGGGTGCTCGATCATTGTATGACTGAAATCTCACTGTCACTGTCCTCCTGTTGTTCATCGATTTGCTCGAGCGGGCCCAGTAACATTGTGAGACTTGTTGTTACTGTGTTTAGCATATCCAATACGCCACGGAGAGCTTGCCAGGCTCTGCCATGCAGGCGAGATACTCTCGGTAGTTTGCTGGGCTCTCCGAGAGGGGCGGAAGAATTGAACTTAGGTCGGCCGGGTTGGCCATATGCAAGGCAAATGCCTTACCTGCTGTGCTATCACTCCAGCCTGACTGAAATATAATCAATATAATCATGAACGTTTGTAACTATCTCACGGAGATCCAATAATATTTATTAAAAAATGGCTGATTTTATGATGAGGGCAGAAAATTATGTAATTTTGGTGCATCTTCTAGTATCAGAAAATAAGTGCTAAAAACAAAACAAAGCCTATTGATATTGATGCAGATGTCAAAGGGATACAGACTCAACAGCAAAAGCCCCATAATGGCTATTCCCAAGACAATATAAATAGCAAAATAAAACAATACTGTATTATAACTCCAGGAATAAAATCAGAATCCCTAAGTCCACACAGCTATAGATAAAGAAAAAACAAACAAACAGGGAAAGGTAATAATTTTTCTTGTACAAAAAGAATCCCAAATAATATAGATAATCGATTCTCAGAGGGGAAAATCCTTACTCCTTAAGAATGGGCTTGGGTCGGAGTGATAGTACAGCGGGTAGGGTGTTTGTTTTGCATGCAGCCAACCTGAGTTCAATTCCTGGCATCCCTTATGTCCCTCAAGTACCCAGGAGTAATTCCTGAGTCCAGAGCCAGGAGTAATCCCTGAGCATTGCTGGGTATGACCCAAAAAGCAGGAAAAAAAAAGTGATAATTCATAGAGGCAGGCAGGGGGTGGGGTTGGGAGTGATGTGAGGTAACCTGGTGATACTGGTGCTAGAAATGTACATTGGTGGAGGATGGATGTTGGAATACTGTAGGACTGAATGAACAGCTTTGTCAGGATCTATCTCACAGTAATTCAACAAAAAGTTACCTCAATCAATGTTTTTTAAAAAGTCAAATAAAACATTTGTGTTGATTTAAAAAAAAAAAGGGCTAACTGACTGCCTGTCATTCTGTGGAGAATGAGAGGGAACAGAAGAGTAATTTCTAGTGTCATCAGGTGATCTTTCTTTCGGGGGTAGGTGTGTTTAGGCCATATCCAGCTGTGCTCAAGGCTCACTCCTGGCGGTTCTCGGGGGACCATATGTGCTATTAGGATTGAACCTGGGTGAGCTGGGTGCAAGGTACGCTCCTTACCTGCTAACTAGTTGTTCTCTAGCCCAAAAGTTTATTTTATTTTTTGCTTTTGGGCCCGGCTGGAGCCATAGCACAGCAGTAGGGTGTTTGCCTTGCGTGTGGCTGGCCCGGCTGAGCCGGGTTTGATTCTTCCACCCCTCTCGGAGAGCCCGGCAAGCTACCAAGAGAATCTCGCCCGCACGGCAAAGCCTGGCAAGCTACCCATGACGTATTCAATATGCCAAACACAGTAACAACAAGTCTCACAATGGTGACATTACTGGGCCCGCTTGAGCAAATCGATGAACAACGGGAGGACAGTGCAGTGCCACAGGTTTTTGGGCCACATCCAGCAGTGCTCAGGGCTTACACCTAGATCAGTGCTCAGGATTCACTTCTGACAGGCTTGAGGGACCATGTGGAGTGCCAGGGATTGAACCTGGGTTACTATGTACAAGGGAAGGACACTATTCACTGTGCTATAACTCTTGCACCCCCAAGTTTATTTTTTTAAAAAAAATAAAGTACACAAAGTACTGACTTACCATTACAGATATACACTTAAAAAGGTAGTTAAAATTGTTAGCTACATGAGAATTAACACTTTTAATAGTTTCTATAGAATTCAGAGAATAAGCTGCAATGAAAAACCTTAAAAATGTCAGAACTCAGCTAAAGTAAATACTTTAGCTGGGTTTACAAAAGTAGGTATTTTTAAAAAAAGTTTAATAAATAATTTTTCAACTTACCATTTTTTTCTCCCATTTCTTGATGTTATTTATAAACATAAAGTCCTCAAAATCAATTTTATCAAAGAAATGAGTCACTTTAACTGTAAAATGAAACTGGAATCTAGTTGCAGTCTTTATGAAATGTGCAGTATTTAAAGAAAATATATCAAATAACCATTTTAAACCAAATATTCTTTGATACTTGAATGTTCAAAAAAACCCAAAAAATTGGATTCGTAGAAATTTTTAGAAGTGATCTCTAGTCCAAACTAACGGTGAGTCCATGCATCTTGATGATGATTTTATAGTTGCAATAGGTCAATGAAAATATCTTCTCAGTGATTATTTTAGAATTGTATTTGGTTATTGAAAATATCTTTTTAAGAATAAAACAAACTTCATCTTTTGGTCCATAAGTGCATGAAATATTCTGTAAGGAAAACAGAACAGTACATATTTGTAAAACTAAAACATAAAAAAAAGAGGCTGTTATGCAACAACCTCTTTTACAATAGAATTATCATAAAGACATTAGAAAAATGTATATCAAAACTAATAATATTAAAAAGGTAAAGGTAAAGGCCCTCCCGTTGATCGTCGATTTGCTCAAGCGGGCCCAGTAACGTCTCCATTGGAGACTTTGTTGTTACTGTGTTTGGCATATCGAATACTCTCGGTAGCTTGCCGGGCTCTCCGAGAGGCGCGGAGGAATCGAACTCGGGTCGGCCATGTTGGCCGCTTGTAAGGCGAACGCCCTACCGCTGTGCTATCGCTCCAGCCCCCAATAAATTAAATTACTTAAAAATGTTAGTATAAACTATTGATTTTGGGGGTTCCCACCTCAGAGGCCACTGCCAGTGATATTTGGCCAACAGGCAGAATAATTCAATGTGTGGTTAAAGGTGAGATGCTGCTTGGGCCTAATGGTTCTGAATATCACGAGAACCATACCTTGCAGTGCTGAGGGAAGCCAGGGCCATATCTGGAGTCTCTCAGGAACCCCTAAGCTACCCACCGGGAGCCATGCAGTACCAGGATTGAACTTAGGGCCCAGTTCTCTGAGCTACCTCTCTGGCCTCACTCTCTCCATTTTATAAATGCTTTAGAAAAACACTTAAAAAGGGGATTAAAAAAATACTACCCTAAAGAGCTTTATCACTCCATATAGTGCCTGGTACATAAAGGACTCAGTCAATGGTAACACATATTAATCTTTCAGTATAGGTACTTTTAGGCCACAATTGTTATCTTAATATGATTTTTAAAAGATTTTTCATATATTGCACTTTCTGGCCTTTCTGGCCTGTTATTAGTATCTTCTATAACACAGCTATTCAGTGACTGTATAGTACTACTTTGGTCAATAATCTCTGTCAAAGTATACTAAAGATTTTAATGATCTGAGTTGTGGTGCTAATTTAGTGTGATCAGGGATGTACGCGTAGGGAACTAAGTTGAAGCTAGATCTTGCCAGCAGTTGCCCTGGCACTGAACACTACTTGGGTAGATCCTCCCAAACATTTAAATTATTTTTAATAAATTAGATAAAACTATATCGTGTTTAATTTCTATTTTTTTCAGTATAATATATAATGCTGGAATATATTTTAATCTCAATGTTAGATGAGATTGGTTAGTTAACATACTTCTCCCATTCCCTTACTAAGACCACAGAAATAGAAGACATTAAAAAAATATGACCAGAGCAACAGTAGGGTGGGCAGGGCACTAGCCTTGCATTGCGGCCAGTTGCAGTTTGATCCCCAAGCATCCCATATGATTCCCTGAGCACCATCAGGAGTATTTCCCGAGTGCAGAGCTAGGAGAAACCCGAGTGTTACCGGGTGTGGCCCCCAAACAAACAAAAGTCATGCTGAAAATGTAAAGAATTCTCTGTAGACCAAATTGCCTTTCCTCTCTGGGGAAAAGAAACTGATGGGAAGCTGCAGAGATAATGTCTACCACCATCACAAAATAGTCAAGTGAAGAAGAAATCCTCTCATAAGAGGTGGGTGCACAGCCAAAACAAGACAGATTTTGAGCATATAATGAAAGAGACTTAAGACCACCAAACTAATGGGAATACTCTATCACAAAGGAGAAAAAACAGCATCCTGAAAATAATTTTTGAATAAATGTGATTGTATTTAATATCCTCAAAGAGCTAAAGAAGGATATCTTATCCATGAAATAAGATTAAAAATATTTAAAAAATATAAGGCTGGAGCAATATTACAGAGGGTAGGGCGCTTGTCTTGCATGTGGCCAACCCAGGGTTCAATCCCTGGCATCCCATGTAGTCTCTGAGCACTGTGGGAATTAATTCCTGAGTACAGAAACAGAAGATACCCCTGAACATTTCTGGGTGTGGCCCCCAAACCAAATATATTTCTAATTAGGCAGTTTGGATATAAAAACCTTTGTGGGGCTGGAGTGATAGTGCAGTGAGTAGAGTGCTTGCCTGTCAAAAACAAAACATTAACCCTGAGCACAGAGCCAGGAACAAGCCCTGAGTACCACCTGGGGTGTTCGCTGTCCCTGAGAAGCCCCCTCCCCACAAACACACTTGAGTGATTGCTCAAAAGATGACTGGATAATTGCATCCACTCAGATTAAGAGCTAGCTAGTAGGCTGGAAAACTGAGTTCAGTGGTTCATTTAGAACATGGTAAAGAAGTAATAAAGGCTGAGGTCAGAGAGATAGTATAGCAGGTAGGGTGTTTGCCTGGGTTCACAGCTGACCTGGGTTCAATTCCCAGCATCCGGTATCATCCCTGGCATCTCGTTTGATTCCCCAAGCACTGCCACGAGTAATTCCTGAGCACAGAGAGAGGAGTAACCCCTGAACATTAATGGTTGTGGTCCTTCTGCCTCCCAAAAAAAAAAAAAAGAATAAGAGGAATAAAATAGAAAGAATGAAGAGATTAGAATGTTTCTGAACTTAAAAATTCAGTTCTCCCTCTAAAGAATATTGATTATCCACCATGAAAATATTCCCCAAACTGTGGGTAAGCCTTAGCATATTGAGAATATTTACAAAGTCTAAGTAACTCACAGAAAAAATGGATTATCTGAAAGGATTGCATACCAGGTTAATAATAAGACTTCTCAATAGAGATGCCTGGTACAAAATGTAGGGGTGTGGGGTGAAGGAGAATCAACCAAGAATATAATTTCAGCCATTTTTCAATAGTGATGACAAAAATTTAAAAAGAAATTTACAAATACACAAAATACTTGAGATACTCTAACATATTTTTAAAAAGCTCATACAAGAAAGATGTACTTTTCTCATAAAATTAACATATAAGTATTGAGAAACAACAGTGAGCAAATAAATGGGCAAAATACATTAATACTATGGGTTTATGTTTTGTTTTTGTTTGGGGGTGACACACCTGTTAGTGCTAAGGGCTTGCTCCTGGCTCTGTGCTCAGAGATCATTCCTGGCCTGCTCAGGGAGCCATATGGGATACCAGATCAAACCCCGGTGGGTCTGTGCAAGGCAAATGCCCTACCCACTGTACTATCACTCTGGCACCAGTACTATAGTTTTAATGATAAGTGATAAACATAAATAAAATGGGATTAACGAAAAGTGAACCAATTTACACCTTATTTCTAGAACACACAAAAAAATTCTGTATATACAATATAAGTTCTACATAAGGAAATATTTAACAATACTAATTGAACTTAGACTTGGTTGGGAAAAGAAGTAAACATGACAACACTGTCAAGGGAAGTTACAAAAATTACATAGTGTATCATTTCTATCCTTAAGGATTACATATGTATCTCAAGAGAGAGACTGAGAAACAAAAGAGACAGAAAGGTACTAAAAAGGAATGAAAGACCATTGCACCCAAGTCTTCAGCATGGTGTACAAGGTGTGAGGGACTTTGAGGATTATGGATTGTGTTCCTAGCCTATAAGGTAAGAAAATATAAACTTGCATTCATGTAATTTTCAAAATGGGACTGTCCTGAGTTTTAAAGCCTCCCAGAATATGCTGTTAAATTGTCTTCTCTAAAGATTCAACTATTGTATACTGTCATTTACAGTGTATAAGCACACTCTGTGCCGATTAATTATTTTAATTTTTGGTGCTGGAACTGAATCTAAGACTTCACTGTGCTGGTTTATTTTTAAAGAAAGCTCTCATCACTGTTGTGCATGCTCTCTGAAAAATTAAGAAATAAATGTGAGCTGGGGACAGAGTGAGAGTAGGGAATTGCCTTGCACATTGACCCAGATTGAATCAACAACCAGGGACCCCTGTCAGGAGTGATCCCTGAGCACAGAGTCAGGAGGTCAGTCCTGAACCCTTAGGGTGTGGTCCCCAAACAAAAACAAAACAAGTTTATTTTTGAAAAATTGCAAAAAAAAAAAAAAGGTAATGCATAAGAAAATTCTTCATCTACCTCATGCTCCAAAGACTCGTGTTCATTTTTGGGGAGCGAGGCCATAAAGGGCGCTTTTAGATTTTGTTTCATGTTTTTCCTCTTTTCGCTTTTTCATTTGGCAGTTTGTTTCAATTAACGGTTCCTTTTCATTTTTAGGCTCTTATGGAACTGAAATTTTGTTTTAATTCTAACAGTCGGATTTGCCGAGTGTAAATCAAGTATTAGACATTGAAATACCTCGTGTCTGTTAAAGTGCATGAAAATCAGAAAGATCAGTTCCCATGGCTTTCTCTTTCAATTCGAAATCTAAGGCGCTTCCACTGGAAGTGGCAGAAACCAAGAATAAGGAAGCCGGCAGCGTGGTTTCAGAGAAGTGGTTTTTTTTTTTTTGCTTCAAATTTTTGTTTTCCTTTGCCGCCTTAAAGTTCGCTTTCCTTGATATCGTTCATAAATACATAACGAATTTATTGCCGTGATTCCCCGTGCCACCGAGCACAGTTAATTGCATCCTGCTCATCTTAATTATTGAGTGGCTATTTACTTATTGGGCTGCGGCTGATCCGAGTCAGGACCCGGGACATCGCCTACCAACTCGGTGATGTTGGACAACGACTGAGCCTGCAGAGGGCTCGTGGAGTCTTACCTGGGAAAGGTCAGTGGTTAGACCTCCTAGCTCTGCTTCT